GGGCAGAGAGAGCCCCGGGGAGGCCAGCCACGGGCAGGGGGCCCAAACCCCACCCTGGGTGCCCGAGGCTGCCCGGCCAGAGCCTGTGCCCGAGTCCTCTCCCTGAGTGGGGGTGGGGGGATGTCTCCCACCATGCAGGTGCTGAGCCCATCAGCTGGAATGGGGGGGCCTACCCACCCACCTACCCCATGGCAGCCCATCCCCATCTTCCAGTGGCAGGGGGGGGGACATGTCAGGGTGATTGCTTTTTCCCCCTTTCCTGAAAACTTCCCTGGAAATTCCGCCAGGCAAGGCAGTATTATAGGTCTCTCCAGGGTGAGGTTGATAAGGACCTGAACTTCAAAAGCAAATCTAGGTCAGTGGGTTTGTATTGTCTCCTCCCAGACATCGGCTGCCTGAGTTTTGCTCACCTGAAGCCGCCGGATCCTGCTTGGTGCTTCTACAGGGACCTGCCGTGGACTTTCCTTCTTGGGACCGGAGAGGAGGAACAAGGTAGAAGTTTAAGAGGCAGTAGCCAGCATGGCAATAAATTGTGGCTAGTCAAGTCGTACCCCTTGCTGGTCCTTGCAGAGCGGACTCTGCGCTGGTTCCCCCCATCCTCCAGGGGCACCGGCAGTGCTTGAATGCTGCCTCTCTCCCCTCCTCACAGGTGTGAAGCCCTGCAAAGGTGCAGCTTGGCAGAAGTGGGCCATGGCGGAGGGGGGAGGGGGCCGCCGAGGGCCCCCACCCCTCGGGCTTCCAAGGGCACCGCTGAGCTTATCAGGGGAGCGCGAGGCAGGCATGACCGGCTCCTGAAATGTTGAGCACTGAGCTGCGTGGCAGTCCCCGGTCTCCCCGTGAGAAGCAGCTTCCTAGCCCGCCTTCCTCCCGGCTCTTCTCGGGTGAGTCCTCCGTTGCCACTTCTGGTGCAAAGAGACGGCAGATTCCTGCCGCTGGAGCTTCCCCCTGCAAAGGTGCCATCGGGTTTGACGGGTGTTCCTTCCTGGTGCCTCTGGCCTTTCCACAGGTGGAGGGTGGAGAGCACGGTCGCAGAGGCATTTACGTCAACATGGCCAGGCAGCTGTTTGGCAGATTCTGCACAGAGCAGAAGGCCTTGGAGGTGTTTTTCAACCTGTGACTTTATGACAATGTCCAGCTCTTTGGGTTGTGAGCCAGAGCTGTGTGGAGGCTTTGTGTGCTGCCCACCCTGGTGGCAAAGCAGCCAGTCATGCCCTTCCTTCCTTCCTTCCTCCCTACCTCCCGTCCTTCCTCCCTACCTCCCGTCCTTCCAACCAATTATGTTGACCTAAATCCTGTTTGTCCTGTCCCAGAGGTGCAAGAGGGAGGCATGTGCAACAGGAATTTCGTGGCCAAGGTGATGGAGGACATCCTTCCTTCCTTCCTTCCTTCCAACCAATTATGTTGACATAAATCCCTGTCTGTTTGTCCCAGAGGTGCAAGAGGGAGGCATGTGCAACAGGAATTTCGTGGCCAAGGTGATGGAGGACAGGATCCTGGTGCCCCCCATCCCAGGTGGGTGTCTTTAATATTCTTTTCAGACCATTTGTGTATGAAGAGGAATGCGGGGACATGATCCATGATGGTAATGGGGTAGGAAGGCCAGGTCCTGGGGGCATCAAGAGGGTCATCCATACCATCTCTCATCTCCCTCAATATTCTGTGTTTGGTGTTTCAGACGGAGCGTCATAGAGTCCTAGAATAGTGAGGTTGGGAGAGGGGCCTTTAAGGCTATCAAGTCCAGCCCCCTATCTGGGGGCATCAAGAGCGTCATCCATACCATCTCTCATCTCCCTCAATGTTCTGTGTTTGGTGTTTCAGATGGCGCGTCATGGAATCCTAGAATAGTGAGGTTGGGAGAGGGCCCTTTAAGGCTATCAAGTCCAACCCCCTATTCAAGGCAGGAATCCAACTCAAAGCAGATCTGGTCCAATTTTATCTTGAAGGCCTCCAGCGTTGGAGCGCTCACCACCTCTTGAGGTGTCATGGGTTCCACTGTCGTACTGCTCTAACAGTTAGGAAGTTTTTCCTGATATTCCGCTTCCTTTAACTTGAGCCTGTTGTTGTGTGTTCTGCCCTCTGGGATGATGGAGGACAGATCCTGCCCCTCCTCTGTAGGACAGTCTTTCAAACATATGAAAAGTGCTATCCTATCACCCACCTGTCTTCTTTTCCCAAGGCTAAACATGCCCAATTCTTTCAGCCTTTCCTCCTAAGGCTTGGTTTGCAGTCTCTGTTGACCTTTTCTGAACTCGTTCCAATTTGTGAGCATCCTTCTTGAAGTGTGGTGTCCAGAGCTGGACACAGCACCCAAGAAGAGGCCTCACCAGTGCCAAATAGAGAGGGGCTGGCCCCTGGGGTTGGGGGTCTTGTGCCCCACCTCTGATGCTCTTGCCCCCGGCCCCCAGTCTGAAGGCAAAGCAGGGCCTGCCTGGGAAGGGGTGGCTCTCGATGGGAGATCTTCTTGGGCCCCATGGGTTTTTCCTTGGTGTGACTGGCCTCTTGCGTCTTGGGACCTGCCCTCTAGATTCGGGTTGTGGGTGGGCCAGTAACGGCCTGGGGAGAGGGAGCTCCAGCAGCATGCGCCCTGCTGATGATGGCGGCCTCTCCTTCCAGCCCTCGGCTGGGCTGCTCCAGGATGCCAGGTTGTGGTGAAGGAGGAACCGGAGGAGGAGCTGCCTATTGCGTGCCCTTTGCAAAGCCCGGTCGAGACGGAGGGGGAGGCACCGCTTGGCCCCATGGCAGGTAAGGGGACCTGGGAGGCAGGGAGGAGAAAAAGAGGATGCAGGCATCCGGTCCTCCGCCCTCCTCGCCCTGCCAGGAGCCGTGAAAGACTCCAGTCTGGAGCAGGCCTGCCTGGCTGAGGTCTCTTGGTTTCCCCGAAAGAAGCAGGCGTGGTCGCTCTGCGTGCTTGACAGCCCACCTGCCGAAGGACACCGCCGTGGCTGTTCAGGTAGCCTGGAGCCCACCGGGTCATGGGGCCCAGGTGCTGGGAGGGCTGGAGGGGTGGGTGCTCATCCACCGTCCTCTTCTCTGGTGGGGGGGAGAACAGAGCAAGGCTTTCTTGACGACGGGGCTGAATGCTGGCCTTCCCACAGAACCTCGGGCGGACATGACACGCAGGAGGGTGCTGTGCTTCTCAGGGCTGGCCGTGGGGGGGGAGGAGCCACCCGTGTGCCCAGAAACACGCAGGAGGGTGCTGTGCTTCTCATGGCTGGCCGTGGGGGGGAGCCACCCGTGTGCCCAGAGGGTGGAGTCCCACTGATGACCCGCCGGCCAGCAGTCCCACCCTGTCCCGAAGCAGGATGCGGGGATGTTGGGAGCAGACGGGGGGAGGGCCGGGTTGAGAGCCCCCTCTGAGCCCTTCCTTGCCTGCAGCCCTTCCCCCCCCCACCCCGGACCAGGAGCCGAGCCACACAGAGAGGGCCGTGGCTGCATCTCCTCCTCCTCTCCCTCCTCTTTTAGGGATCAAGCCAGACACGGCCATCAAGACAGAGTCCCAGGAGGATTCCTACGGGGAAGGGCCCTGGGAGTCGAGTGACGGAGAATCTGGCGATGACGATGACACGGACGCCTGTGAGTGAGCCTTGGGGCACTCTTGACGCCTTGGAGTTCGGGAGTCTCTTGGGCCTTCCTGTGGCCCGCGGCAGAGTAGCCGGGGCTCTCCGACACAGAGGGAGGGCAGATGCTGCCCGGGAGCCCAGACCTTTGGAACTTGCAGGTAGAAAGATTTGGGGTCCCCTTCTCAAAGCGGAGATCCTGCTTACCAGCACCAGCGCCCCTCAGGCCTCCCTCTTGGGGCTTCTGCTCTCAATGTGAGAGGCTGGAGGGACAGGGCCCCCTAACGGAAGCCCTCTCACATCCCAAGGGTAGTATCCAGCTGTAGGAGCCCCTGCTTGTCTTCGCTCCTGCCAGGTGGGAGCCGTGTGTGTGTGTGTGTGTGTGTGTGTGTGTGAGAGAGAGAGAGAGAGAGAGACCTGTTGTCTCCTTGGGCTGTAGGGGAAACAGTAGCTGGGTTTCAGCCTCTGGTTGCCTCTCCCCTCCCCACAAGGCTGGTCCCTCCCTGGCCTCCTCAGCCGATGGCCTTTCTCTTTCCTTCTCCACACAGCCGACACCAAGCCCGATGTCATTGTGAAGATGGAGCCAGATGATGAAGAGGAGGAGTTTGGGGGCCCCAGGGGTGAGTTTGGCTGTTTGCTTGTTGCTGCTGTCGGAAGAGTCTGAGTTTTGCAAGCCGCCCGTGGCTGGCAGCCATCGCTTTTCCTGCAACTCCAGAATATGGTTCTAACTTGGGAGGAAAGTGGAATCTCTGGGGACTCGCCCAAGAGAGGCAGCCAGCTCATTCCCTGATGTCTTGTCTTGTCTGTGCATTCTGAGAGTAACAGGTATAGCCAGCCCGGTACTGCAAAGTGCCTGCAACAGTACCAGGAAGCAATCCGGTTTCCCGGACATGAGGTTGTCTCAAAGCCCATTGAGAGTGAGGGCAAGGCCAGCCAAGAGTGAAGGCAACGCTCCCTAGATAGGCACGGCCCCACTCCTCTTGCCTGGAAGATCAATGAAGGGGCGCACTGAAATGGGCACCCCGAATAGTGGTTCCTAAGAAACATCTCAGTGCCTGAGACGGGGAATCCAAACAGCTGCTTCTCCCCTCCCAGAAACATGGAGGACTTGATAGGGATCAGGGTGCAAGGAAAGCGTAGAGCTTGTTGGAATGAACAGGGAGGGCTGTGAGGTGCTCAGAGGGGTCCCTTCCGTGGCCCCTTCTGCCACCCGTGGTGAGAGCCTCCGTCCCTTTTTTCCCCCTCAGTCTTGCCACTCGGCTTTTCACACTTTTAGGAGAGTTCTAAGTCCATGCAAGTGATAACGCTGCTTTCGGAGCCCTGGGCCCACCTGCCATGCTTGCATCTGCCCCAAGAGAGCCCGTGTTTCGCCCACCTCACCCCAGGGGTCCCAACAGACAGCTGTGGTTTTAGGGCCAGACGGGCCTCCCGTGGCCGTTTCCCCCGGTGCCTGAGGCACCCAGGATGCAGTCGCTAACTCTTTGTGCCGCTCCTGTTCCTTGCTGGGTGTCACGTTCCTTTCCTGCCTGGAGTCACAGATCCTGACGGTGGCCTCTTCCCCCTCTGCTAGGTGGCTGCAGGGAGTTGCACCAGGGCGCCTTGGAGGCGGGAGGCGTGCTGATGGGCCTGGAGGAGTTCCAGCCAGGCAGCCGAGTGGCCCCGTCCCAGAGTTCTCTGAAGAGCAGAAGCCTCAACAACTGGTCGGCGCCAAGGACAGGCCCAGGCACCCAGGCGGCCACGGCGCAGATGCCGGAGAGGAGGGGGCAGGCTGCTCCTGGAGGGTCCAGGGATGCTGGGGAGGAGCTCCCCCAGCCCCCGCCTGGCACCCTGGAAGTGGGCAGCCGCCCCCCCAAGAGCCATGCTGCCGAGCGGCCTTTTGCCTGCAGCGTGTGTGGGAAGCGGTTCCAGCACCGGGGCAACCTGATCACCCACCTGCGGGTGCACACAGGGGAGAAGCCGTTCCCTTGCACAGAGTGTGGCAAGAGCTTCAGCCAGAAGGGCGACCTGATGCGCCACCTGCGCATCCACACGGGGGAGAAGCCCTTTGAGTGCACCGTCTGCGGCAAGAGCTTCTGCTCCAAGCAGACCTTCATCCTCCACCAGCGCATCCACACGGGGGAGAAGCCCTTCTCGTGCGAGGAGTGCGGGAAGAGCTTCAACCGCAAGGCCAACTTCGTCACCCACCAGAAGATCCACCGGGGGGAGCGGCCCTTCGTCTGCGGCGAGTGCGGCAAGGGCTTCTGCGCCAAGAAGACCTTCATCCTCCACCAGAAGATCCATGTGGGCGAGCGGCCCTTCGGCTGCTCCGAGTGCGGGAAGAGCTTCAGCCGCAACGGGGACCTCACCCGCCACCAGCGCATCCACACCGGGGAGCGGCCCTTCGCCTGCGCCGACTGTGGGAAGTGCTTCAGCCACAACGGGGAGCTGATCAAGCACCAGCGCATCCACACGGGGGAGAAGCCCTTCTCCTGCCTGGAGTGTGGGAAGAGCTTCAACCGCAAGGGCACCCTTGTCACCCACCAGCGCATCCACACGGGCGAGCGGCCCTTCGTCTGCGGCGAGTGCGGCAAGACCTTCAACCTCAAGACCACCCTGATGAAGCACCGGCGCATCCACACCGGGGAGCGCCCCTTCCCCTGCCTGGAGTGCGGCAAGAGCTTCAAGTACAAGGGGAACCTGCGCACCCACCACCTCACCCACACCGTGGAGCGGGTCCACCCATGCACCGAGTGCGGCGCCATCTTCAGCCAGCGGAAGGAGCTGAAGGCCCACCAGGCAGCCCACGCCGAACCCCGGCTGCTGCCCTGCTACGGGGCAGGCTGCGGCGAGGACGGGAGCCCCTTCCTCCGCGTGCACCCCCTCCTGCTCTCCTGCTCCCCCCTCCAGGCGCCCCTGGTGGAAGCCCTGCCCCATTTCAAGCAGGAGGCCAGCTGCAAAGCGGTGGAACTGGGGGATGCGGACCCGTAGTGGGGGAGGAAAGAGGCACTCTTTGACTTGACCCCTGAGAGGCCAGCCGGACAGGGAACTGAGGAACCGTGTGCCCCGGGAAGCAACGGGGCCACCGCAGCCCATGGATGCGCGCACGGGCCTGTGCGGCTGAAGCCAAGGAAAGGCTCCTGGTTCCTGGAACGTGAGCGTGGTGGGGCTGGGCCCACAGGTCTCTCCTGCTGGTTGAAGCCCAGGCCTGAGATGGAGTGGGAACCCGAGGGCTGGGACCCCACTGCACCTGACGGATCGTTCTCACTTCTCAGACTTGCTAGTCTGACACGGAGGCCTCTGGACTGCGCCAGAGGGAGAAGGTTCCGCACTCGTGAATAGGTTAGCATACCAGGCACTTCACCCACTGGTCCGGGGGGGGTGGTGGTATCTGTCCTAAAGCCAGTGGTTGTTTGGAGGGAACAGAGCAGATCATCGGGTGTTTATGAAGGACAATAAATTGACATCCTTGTTAAAGGTCCTGTTTAGATTTTTAAAACATGGGAACACCAGCAAAGATCATTTCCGCATTCTGTTTTTTTTAATAATGCGAAACATTAAAAACAATAAATCAGATTTAAGGGGTGCAATGTAGAACGTAACGTTGCAGATCCAACACAAGACCAAAATGATGGATGCAGGACAAGACCCAGGTCGTCAGAAGGAGAAATGACCCCCCCCACAGCCCCTTCCCCCTTGATACTATGATGTTTAACGTCACTAGAAAAAAATAAACCCTTGGGGAGGCGGAGGAGAAAAGGTGGGACATGTTTGGACAAGCAGGATAGGAGTCTTCCTGTCTCCGGGGGCTGGGGAGGGGGAGGTTGGGAGAGAAGATGCTCACCCAGGGGGTGGGCACATGGGTCCAGTGGGTGCCCAAGATGAGTAGGAAGGGATACCTTCCTGGGGGGGGAGGGTGTTCCAGCGATGGGTTCAAGGCAGGCTGCCTTTGGAGCTTATTTCCAGGGGACGAGGGCGCCTCCTCCTGGTCCCTTCCACGCAGGTCCTTCTTTTTGCTCTCTGAGCTGAGTGCCAACCTTCTTCTGGGACCAAGTTAAAGGCATGCGGGTTGTTTGTGGTTTTTTTCTTTATATTTTTTTAACCTTTAAAGCCCTCACTGTCTTGGGTCCAGGCTTGTGGAAGGATCCCTTCTGACTCGGTTTCTTCAGGCAGGAAGACCAAGCCCTGCGGGAGAAGGAAAAGGTTGGCCCGTCCCCTTTGGTGGCCTTAAAGCCGGGGCTCCCATCTTGACCTGGGGGCCCCATGGCTCAGCCAAGAGGTAGTCTTCCGGGGGTGGCCTTGGGGCTGCCGTGGGGTCCCATTTATCGGCCACCTGGTGGCACCGAAGATCCTGGTGGTGGTGGGGGTGGCAGGAGGAGGACCTGGGGATAAAGAAAGAGGCCCGGGGGCTGGAGGGCGCCAGGGCCTGGGAAGTCTCCTCGTGCGGTCCTGTTGAATCTGTTTAAAGGCCTCCTTCCCTTCTTCCGCTGAGGCCCCACTTCCAACATCGGGCGGGGGGGGCAGTTCCTCCATGCAGTTTTAGGAAGTCCATCGTGCCCATGGCCAAGCAGGCGCCGTTCCCCAGGCAGCCAGTGTTCCTGTCTGAAGCGAATGCCGTCCTTGGCGCTCTTCCCTGTCTTCCCTCTCGCCCCACGGGGTCCAGCCCTGCAGCTTCGGGTGACAGGCTGCGTTGCTCTCGGAACGGATCTTGACATCCATGCACGTCTCCTTCCCAGCGGAGTCTCTTCCACCATGGAGTTGATTTCTACCATAAGAACATCGCAAGGATGAGGTTGCAGAGCGAACGCCTGTTTTCTGCTGCTTCATCAGCCACTCTGGTGGGAAACCCCATTTTCTCCACAGGCCTCGGCTGTCGGGCCGCCTCCCGCTTTCTCCATGCATTTCCTCACTCCCACTGCCTGCCCCCTGGTCCAGCTTGTCCCCCTCCTCCCAGGTCCTCCTCAACAGACCCTCCATCTGCCCTTTCAGAAAGCGTTCCCAGCGCTCCTTCTCCGGCAGGGGCAGCTGACCTTCCCATTAGCCAGGGCAAAGATGCCATGATGCCCTCGCCTCCGTGGCCTGGCGCGGGTGGACACTAGAGGGGCTAGAGGGGAGTACTTCAAGGTGGCCGGACACGCTGGCCGTGGCTAACCGGGCACAACCTTTTATCAGGCAATGCCAAGTCATGTTCTGGCCTGGGAGTAAAACTGCCCGACCATCACTACGTGCAAAATGTTCTGAACAGAGGGAGGGAGGGAAGGAAGGAACGATCTCCTAATGGATGGATGGAAGGAAGGGAAAGAGGGAAGTGATGAATGGAAGGGAGAGAGAGGAGGAAAAACCGAATAGGCAGGAGAAAAGCAACTGGGCAAAGCTTGGGCACCAAGAGCTGCCTTTAAAAGTTGGCTAAAAAAAAGTTGGCAGACGTCTCCCCAGGAACTCAGCAGGAGATCAGGTGGAACCTTGTTGGTCCGTGGGAGAGCTGAAGTTCTCTTCCAGCAATAAAGGGGAAATAGAGGCAAAATGCCAAGGAGGCTCCAAGGACTGCCCTTCAGCGAGGGGACGATGTTGGCTCAGGGCTGCATCCCTGGAAGGTGGCACGGATTGGAGAAGCACGGTGGCTTGAAGGTAATAGTGTTTTCTCCAGTCCTGTGTTAAAACTGAAATTTTAAAAATGGAGAATGTTTAGTGCTTAAGAATGAAACTCCACAGATCTACGGCCAGAGTCCTTGTGGTTTGTGACACTGGTCTGAGTGGAGTGCAGTGGGAGTAGAAGGGGAACGGCCGCTCCTTACTGTGACCGCTGAGCCATGAGGGGGTCCAAGAGCGAGGGGCAGTGGCCCCCTGTGATTCACGCCCATGCACTTACGTATGCTGCCGTAAACTAACCTGTAGGATTCTGGTCCAGAAGTTCAGTAGAAAAACCGCCAGGCGGCTACCTGAGGAACAGGTAAGGGGAAAGAGGTAAGGGACGTTCGCTGACTCTTCAGGCAGTTCCTGCCAGTGCCTTTGTGAGAGACTTCAATTAAGTAACTTGGATACAAACAAAATCAGGTGCATTGGGATCGGAAGGGGTCCCTGTCCTTGCCTGCGAGCAGGATTTGCACTTCTCATCAGAAATATACCTGTTTGTGACCTTGGTTCCAGGTCCCCCTGGGAGGGAGGAAGAGCCGAGTGCCTTGACAAGGGGAGACAGGCCATGCCGTTGAATGTGATGATGTCATGGAGACTTGGCTGGGATGATGTCATAGACCCTTGGCCAATGGGAAGGCAGTCCAAGGAATTGTTTGGCCAAAGGGCAGTTGGTTGGAGGGTCAGTTGGAGAAGAGCCGGGGAGGCGGGAGAGGAGCCCAGCGCCATGGTCAGCAAGCAGGCGGCGAGGGTGCTGAGGCTCATCACGGGGAGGGGGGCTTCCCCAGGGGCGGCCTTGGGCACGGCGGCCAACGCGCTTGGGGGACAGCGAGGACTTTTCACTCCTCGTGGTCTGAAGAGGCCACTGAGGGACCCGACCCTCCATGAGTACCTGAGCATGAAGCTTTTGAGGGAAGAGGGCATCCCCGTTCCCTACGGGTTGCTTGCCAGGACTCCGGAGGAAGCTTACAAAGTAGCCAGAAAAATAGGCACAAACGACCTGGTGGTGAAGGCGCAGGTTTTAACCGGGGGTCGGGGAAAGGGGGTCTTTGAAGGAGGCCTCGTCGGAGGGATGCAGATGGTCCGTTCTCCAGAGGAAGCCAGTCAGGTGGCCTCCAGAATGATTGGGAAAAAGCTGTTCACCAAGCAGACGGGTGCCAAGGGGCGGATATGCAACCACGTCTTCATCTGTGAGCGCAGGTACCTGAGGAGAGAATACTATTTTGCCATCGTGATGGAAAGGTCCTTCCAGGGCCCGATCCTGATTGGCAGCACTCACGGCGGCGTCCTTATCGAAGATGTTGCCGTGGAAGACCCGGAGGCCATCCTTAAGGAGCCGGTGGATATCGGGGAAGGCGTCTCGGAGGAGCAAGCCGTGCGGCTGGCCCAGAAAATGGGATTCCCCTCCCAGCTGGTGTACGAAGCAGCCGGCCACATGGTCAAGCTCTACCACCTCTTCATTAAGTACGATGCCCTCCTGGTCGAAATCAACCCCATGGTGGAAGACTCCACCGGGAAGGTGCTGTGCTTGGATGCCAAGATCATCTTTGACAGCAACGCCACCTTCCGCCAGCAGAAGATCTTTGAGCTCCAGGATTGGACCCAGCTGGACGAGCGGGAGAGGGAGCCTGTCAGCACGGAGCTGAACTATATCGCTTTGGACGGGAACATCGGCTGCCTGGTGAACGGCGCCGGCTTGGCCATGGCCACGATGGACATCATCAAGCTGCACGGAGGCACCCCGGCCAACTACCTCACCGTCGGCGGTGGGGCCACGGTGGAGCACGTCACGGAGGCCTTTAAGTTGATTACTTCCAATGAAAAAGTCCAGGCTATCCTCGTGAACATTTTTGGAGGCCTGATGAGATGCGATGTCATTGCCCACGGCATCATTATGTCCGCAAAAGACCTGGAGCTAAAAATACCCATTGTCGTGCGGCTACAAGGCACCCGCGTTCAGGACGCCAAAGCTTTAATCGCCGAGAGCGGCCTGAGGATCCTGGCCTGCGACGACCTCGACCAAGCGGCGAAAACGGCCGTGAAGCTCTCGGAGATCATGATTTTGGCCAAAGAGGCTCAAGTGGAAGTGAAGTTTTACTTGCCGTCTTGAGGAAGGGAATCCTGGCGGGTCCATAACCGCCTAGAACCTTGTCTCCTGCGTCCAAGGAGGCCACTCAGAAGCAGACCTGTGCCCCGGCTACCCCCTGAGTTTATTTTCAGTACGGCCGCTCTTGGGGCCTCCACCGAACATCACCCGCTTTGCGACAGCCTTTTTTGGGGTCCTTTCCTCCCATTCATGGCTGCGGAAACAAAGTCCACCTTGGGGGGGGGCGCTTATTCATTGTCAAACAGAGCTTGCCACTGAAAATATATTTTGTCCCAATAAAGGTTTCATGTGGACCGGAAGGTTGTGCGTTCCTCTGAGATTCTCTGTGGCTACCAAACAGGTCTCGGATCACCATCATCTCCGGACCCCCACACACACACTGACCCCCAGTCAGTCTCTCCTCTTGGGTGGGTGGCCTTGGGGCAGCCTCGGCCCTGATCCTGGCCAGCTCGTCCCCCTGTTTCAGCCGGAACCAACTCGCCGTCAGGCAAGGGTTACGTGAAGTGAGTTCCTCTGAGATTCTCTGTGGCTACCAAACAGGTCTCGGATCACCATCATCTCCGGACCCCCACACACACACTGACCCCCAGTCAGTCTCTCCTCTTGGGTGGGTGGCCTTGGGGCAGCCTCGGCCCTGATCCTGGCCAGCTCGTCCCCCTGTTTCAGCCGGAACCAACTCGCCGTCAGGCAAGGGTTACGTGAAGTGACCTGGTTG